TGGCCATTGAATCAATTAGTGGTCTTGAAGCTGCATGCTTGAATAGCAAATCATTCTAGTCTGGTTTCTCTCACCTCTAGGCTTCTTTCTCCTACTCGTCTTCTACAAATAGGGTTTCCCTTTGATCACACAGTGCCAACCACCTCAGCCTCTTCTGCGCTGATCATTAGGCAGCCTATAGAAGTGCAGGGTTCAGGGTCATGATTGTGAGGGGCGGCATCCTAAATTATTTTTATGGCTTCGCACACCCAATATTGGAGTCCAATGTTTTTAATGGTCCAGCAAAGTCCCCTTATAGTGTCTATAAAATGGAGCTGTGCTGCAGTGATTCTGATCTGAAATTTAAACTGGAAACAGGTGCAAAGGCATCTACAACTACGAATTGAAGCCCAAGGGAAATACCTACAGGCAGTTTTGGAGCAGGCACAAGAGACACTTGGAAAACAGAATTTGGGTCCTGCAAACCTGGAAGATGCAAAAATAAAAATATCAGAGTTAGTTTCACAAGTATCAACTGAATGCTTCAGTAATACGATTACAGATGTAAAAGGAAGTTCAAGTGTGCATAGATTAGAGCCCAGACAAATCCAGTTTGTTGAGAGTTCAACAAATAGTTATTTGTCTGTGGCTGAAGGATTCATCAAGGAGCACAGACTACAGCACCATGGAGTACTAAAAGCATATGATGATAGTTCATTATTTTGCAGAAACAGATCACATGAACATGAGACCTAGTTTGCCCTTAACAGAAGCCTAAGTGAGCGTAGGATGACTCATTTGCAGAATGAGGAAGGATACAGTAAAGCAGAGTTTGGGTATGAAAGTGACACAGAGATGGCACATGGGTATAATGCACCCCAAAAGAATGGTGGAGGTAGCACCACCAGTTCGGCATCAGGAAGCAAAGTAGATGCAGAGAAGCTATATCTGGAAGAACAAAACTGCGCAAGACAGGCAGTTGAATACCCCAGAGAAAGCAAGCTAGTAGATTTTGAGCATCCGTGCTCAGGGAAGAAACTTGATCTGAACACCCACAATGTCGATGACACTGATCGAGCTTACAGACATTTTGACTTGAATGGCTTCAGCTGGAGCTGATAATATGTAAGATGATAGAAGTGAAGAAATGAAGTTACAAATAATTTCTTCCAACGTTGAAGTATTGATACATGATCAAATGTAAATCCACGAGGTATCATTTATGTTTTTAGGTATTTAGTATAGGGTACAGAAATGGTATTCACTTTGGGGCTTTGGGCCATCAGCAGTTTACTCAAAACTCAAGGAAAATAACAATACATAAACAGTATACGTAAGAAACCAGACAAATAGCATCAACGAAATTAGAGTCCATAAGATACAGAACACTATGATGAGTAGATAATAGCAACAAAGTGAACAGTGGCATTATTAAGAAACCAAGAGAAACAAATGTAGGAATATTCATCAACATAAAGAGCACACTATTTTTCCAAGGTCAAGCAGTGAGAAAAGAAGGACCAGAAAAAGCGCGTCATCTCAAGTAGCATTGCAAAATCAATCTACTGGCACAAACTATGTGTGAGTGTGACATTCGAGACCTAACATTCTAAACTCTTAGTTCAGAACAGCTTGAAACAAACAGGGAGATTATACATCAGTACAGATGGATTACTGCTACCCCTATAGCTAACATTTTAGATAAGAAGCGTCCATTAGTACAATAGGACTATATGAATGAAAGCAATTTCTCCAAACAGCCATCCCCATAGTAGTTAGTAGTCATTTCTAGTAACACGGCAAAACCAGCATAGTATTGGATAAGTAGAACATTAACTAACAAGATATGGTCATTTAGATGATATAGCAAGTTTTAATTAAGAAAGAAAAAGGATTTGTCTCTGCTGCGCTTATTTATATACCCAATAGGCAACAACCACTTATTGCATAATCCACTGATGACATTGTATCTACCTCCACAATTATTCCTCTCCGTGAGCACATTATGCTTCCTACAAGAGACTAGAATAGCAGGGAACTGTAATACTATCATGTACGTAGAAACTGTAGTTATCTGAGATGGAGCAGTCACGCTAATTATTCGCTCATTATTTCGCCATGGGAGGAGGAGAGCCTTCATCTGTTTGTTCATGGCCTCCCTACTTCTTCATCCGGCGCACCTTCTTAACGCCCCAGACCTCCACCCTCTCTTTTGGGCAACCGCACGGCGCACGGAAGATAAGCACGGTACGGCCGTTGGGCGGCGCCATCTTCCTGAGCACCGCCTCAAGCTCCCGATGCTCGTCCCCAAGCCCCGCCACTGGCCACATGGCCGCGGCCCCGCCTCCTACACCGTGCGCAAGCGGCAGCAGGCCGCGCACGCACTCCTCCGTCTCGAGCTGGATGTCGTACTCCACGGCCTTGCGCAGGCCACGGCACCGGGGCCTGCCGCACCGGCGCGCTCGGTGCGACGCGGCGTCCCACGCCAGCACGGCGGCCCCAGCCGCCACGCCCGCGGCCAGTGGCACGCACGGCGCCGCCGGGTGGCGCGTCGCCACCGTGGCCACCGCGTCCCGCGCCTCGACAGCCAGGAGTCGCGCGTAGGGCGCTGCGAGGAACGCAATAGCGGCGAGCGAGGCGAGGAGCGCAAGCGCGTCGACCGCGGCGAGCGCGGAGTGGTCGCAGAGGGCGGGGAATAGCCGGCCCCGCGATCGCGACCGCGAGGTGGAGGTGGAGGAGGAGGAGGAGGAGAGGGACGCGCGGCGGGGGCGCAGGGAGGAAGGGTCCGAGGAGGAGGCGCGGCGCCGGTTGTGCTCGAAGGCCCGGAGGAACTCGATGAGGCTGCGGCAGTCCGCCATGGCGAGGCGGGTGGGTCGGCAGGGTGGAGCCGAAATGGACTCGGAATTTGGGATTCCGCGGATCTGAGACTCTGAGAGTGGGGTGGGGTGGGGCGGGGCGGGAGCCGAGACGAGCTGGTTGGGATCGGATCGGTGGTCGCGTCAGCGCGGTGCCGCGCGTCGTCGGCGGCAGCGTTTGCGTGGTGCCGTGGTTTTTCTGTTTGGCGCGGCGGGCGGTTGGTCTTGTCGCGGTCGCGGTCGCCGCCCGCGTGGCGTCTGCTGGAGCGGAAAGGAAATGGCCCCGATGTTCCTGTTGTCTACAGTCGGGAAATTACGTTTCGCAAAATCCTTAAAAATGTCACCTCAGTAAATGTCACCCTCTTGATTGAAGAGGACAGTAAAAAGCTAGTACTGCACAGAGTAAAAGATAGGTATAGTCAAACATTAAATATACAGATTAATTAATTAGTCAAAAACTCAAAATTATATTTATCTTTAGTACACAAAAGATGTGCATTACTTTATGTGCCTTTCAGTGAGAGGTTACTCTCTCCATGATAGAAGACGTCGTAAGAAATGTTCCATTGTATTAAGGATAAAAGACTTGAATAGTCATATAAACCCATCATAACAGATGTTGTCCATTTGATGGGAAGTTGTCCATTTGAGACCTTGTTTGGATCAAAGGAAATTCATAGGAATCCATTCCTTTGGAAAGGTTTTCAAAAATGCTGTTCGAAATGAAGAAAACTTCAACAGTAAAAATACTTTGCTGGTGTGTGTTGTGACAGAAAGCACAACATTAAATGAAAATAGGCATTTTCTGAAATTCAACCAACTTCACAAAACCAGTCAGAACGTGGAACCTCCGGGCCTGAGCGTGGAGGTTCCGGGGCTAAGTGTGGAACCTTCGGGATTAGAGTATGTAAACGATCTACAACGGAATTTAACGAATGAAAATAGATCGAATGTGATATCAGTCTTCCTAGGGAGTTTGTTGAGCTATCCAATCGGTTGGCTGCACCTAGAAGATAGGGAACTCGTAGATCGGATGCAAACCCTAAAAATCAATTCAAATCACGAGTAATAGCAATAACAAACACAATCACAAGAGACACGAGGATTTATCCCGTGGTTCAACTCATCACAAAGGCTTGTCTACGTCCACGTTATTGAGGTTAGGCACAAAGGCTATAGAGTCTCTTTCAACACATTGCTCTTCTACAACCTATCACCAAGGCAATATATTGGAGGATTCCACTAATTCACAAAAGGGTAATACAAACGTCCTGATGCTCAGCCACAAAGGATTGGGAGCTCCCGATCGACCGCTAGCCGTCTAGGAGCCAAGCTCCAAGAGTAACGAACACACCAAGCGACTAGAGCTTTACCAAGTGCACAAGAACGGAGGAGAAGGATTTTCTTGAGCTTTCTCACACTCTCTAGAGCCAAATCCCTCAAGGAATCACGGAGATCTTAAGCAAGGGAGTTGGGAGCACTAAGCTTGGAGAGAGAAAGAGCTTCAGTTGGAGTCTGAGTGAGTGAGGTTGAAGATGACCGTTGGGGCGAAGGGGTGAGGTATAAATACCCCCCACATCACCCACAAAATGGTCAAGTCAGACAGACCATAGAGCCTCCGCGTTAGGTCACGTAGGTTCCGCGCAGGACAAAGTAGATAAGAATTCAGCTCGGCTGGCTTTTTGTGGCTGGGATTATTTAAGATGTAGATGGAGTTTTGAGCACTTGGTTCCACCCAGCATACCATTAGTACCCCCTTGATAGTACGGCTTGTCCTATAACTCAATTTCAAAATATAAAAGGAAGTAAACTAGCTCTTTGAGCCTTTACAATCCATCCAGTTGAATTTGGGGGTCTCCTCCTTTGTTTGTATGCACCCATGACTAATGATACACTGTCAATCACTTAGAGAAGCCATTAGTCCTTTAATTTTGTCATCAACATCACCAAAACCCACTTAGAGCTTGATTGCACTTGCAATCTCCCCCTTTTTGGTAAATGTTGACAGCACAATTAAAGCTTACATTTAATTTAAAGATTGAGCTTTTGATAGCATGAATACAAGAGCTCCCCCTTAATATATGCAAGATTAATTTGAATCTAGACAAATGTCCCCTCAAGACATGCATTGCATATATTAAGAGCAAATGTGAATGAATCATTGTATTCATGCCATCGTGGGGTGCAACAGATCTCTGTCAAATAATATCCGTGATGCATATGACAGTTTAAGCACAGAATGAAAACTTTCTGACTCTACAGACCGCGGAGCCTCTGGGCTTGGGCACGGATCCTTCGCATTCTGCACATTTAGAACATTTTCAACAGAAAGTAAAGCAACATAGAATCATAAACAATCACCACACAGATCTACACATGCTAGTAATAGATAAAGATTAAGCAGTTTCAGCAACCTATTACAAGCATTCAAGTTCTCATCCATGTCCATGACCACAAATCGCCACACAAGGGCGAAACAAAGAGTTATTACAGACCACTAAGTCAAAGAGAGTTTGAAAAATGACCTTCAACTCTCGCAACTCACACTAAGCGTCTCAAAGCTACCATGACGACACTAGGCGATCCACGAGCTCAAAAGACATCTCAATCTTGCCTCTCTCTCCCCCTTTGTCAACAGGTGCCAAAAAGGGAAAAAGAACAAGGGAGGCAAAGCACTAGCTCACTGATCCCTGCTCCAGTCACTGCCAATGTCACTGTCACTATCATCTGCAGGATCGGTCTGCCTCTTGCCACTGGAAACTATCCTCTCTCCAGACTCATCATCACTGTCACTCATAACAGCCCTACCAACCCTATGAGTAGTCGTCGTGTGCCTCTGGGGCCTAGACTGTCCTCTCTCACGTCTGAGGGTACTCATCCTCTCTGCAAGTGTCTCTTGGTCATGTGGAAGCTCCATCTCTTCCTCATCTTCACTAGTGTCCTCATAGGGTGGAAAGACTGGAGGTGGTGGAATCTCTCTAACCTCGAGTCCTATCTGCCTCTTCATGTCATTTATATCTTTTCTTCCCTCATAGGTAGCATCCACAACATACCGACACATGCAAAACATGTTCTTGAGCAACTCCTTGAGCTTGCTCCCCTTGGACCTATGGTGGGAAGAGGAAGGCCTACTACTGCTAGCTATGTGAGTGGGTCTAACCTCTGCTGCAACTGAAGTGCCTGCTACCCCAACTAGTGCCTCCCATCCTGTATGCTGCCACTGAGTCAACTTGTATGGCCTATGCTCCACGTCCTTCTTGAATT